TTTTTTTTTTTTTTTTAACTTTATTGTTGATGAGTCTACTCTTTCCCTTCCTCTCTGGCCAGGTCTTACATGGGATCTCTGCAGCAGGATGGGGCTGGCTGGATTTCTATGTCCTCACCTGACTCGGCCTTGCCATCCATTGAGCTGGCTGTGGAGAGCAATCACTACTGTCACTCCCAGAAGGGTCCTGGCAGTCACTGTGACCCCAAGAAGGAGCGGGCCCGTCGCCAGCTTTATATGGCTTCTTTCATCTGCCTGGTGTTCATGATTGGGGAAGTCATTGGTAAGGACTTTTGTGCTAAGTAAATGATATTGGCACATGGATAGCCTGGATGATCCAAAAGGCTTTTCTCCTGAATGTTCCAGCAATATTAATACAGTTGGCATTTGAACAGTGGGGTGGGAGTGGGGAGTTAGGGGTGCTGACCTATACAGTTGAAATTCCACTAGTAACTTTTGATTCCCTAAAAACTTAGCTATAAGTCTCCCCTGTCTCATTGATGGATTCAACCAACTACGGACGAAAAACCGTGTTTGGAGATGTGAAAGTACTGTTTTCCATGGGGATGACTGAGTTAGCAGATGAGAAATCCGCAGATATGAAGGGCTAATTGTATTTATTGAAAAAAATTCACGTATGAGTGGACCCATGCAGTTCAAACCCTTGTTGTTCAAGCGTCATAGTAATTCTTTTTAAGTTTTTTTATTTGAAAATTTCATTTTTCAATTACCATTGACATACAATATTATATTAGTTTCAGGTTAGACATTTATATATCTTACAAAGTGATCACCCTGGTAAGTCTAGTACCCATCTGACACTATACATAGTTATTATGATATTATTATTATTTATTTGTTATTATTGATTTCAGAGAGAGGGAGGGAGAGAGATAGAAACATCAATGATGAGAGTCATTGATCAGCTACCTCGTGCATTCCCTTTACTGGGGATAGAGCCAGCAACCCAGGCATGTGCCAGGACCTGAATTGAACCATGAGCACCTGGTTTATAGGTTGACCCTCAACCACTAAGCCACACTAGCTGGGCTATTATGTTATTATTGACTATATTCCCTATACTTTGTTAACTCTTTTTTTGTCTGTTAAGTATTACATACACCTATCTCATGCAATCCTCAAAACACCTTGTGCTGTCATATGAGTGCTGTTAGTTCTCCTGATTTTACAGATTTTGAAACTGAGGTACACTTAGGTCATGTAATTTGCCCAAGATCACACACAACTAGTAGGTAAGGGAAGGTCTGAATCCCTAGAAGGAAAGAGCATTTACTGAATGCTTACTGCGCTTTCCAGGCCCTATTTGAACTTGATTTTCACATTCACCCTCTAAGACTTAGAGTCTAAGTAGATGTTGTTAGTCCCGTTTCACAGATGGTAGGAGTTGAAGCTCAGAGAAAGTACTTGACTGTGGTTACAGAGTGAATGGGTGAAGAGGTCCTGGCCCAGTGTCTTTCTCCAGGGCCCATGATTTCCCTGCTCCACACATAGTCTGGGAAGTTGGCTCCTTGGGGAGCTGATGAAGACTCTCCATTGTCATCCCTGTCCCTACAGGTGGGTACCTAGCACACAGCTTGGCGATCATGACCGATGCAGCCCATCTACTCACTGACTTTGCCAGCATGCTCATCAGCCTCTTCTCTCTCTGGATGTCCTCCCGGCCAGCCACCAAGACCATGAACTTCGGCTGGCAGAGAGCTGGTGAGGGCCCTGGTCTGGATGGGGGCAGGACCGGAAGATTCAAGACATGGGTTCTTAGGTGGCTGTAATGGGTGGATCCCCCAAGTGAGGCCAGGAGGGCAACTTTCCTGGGGGAAGGTAATGTCAAACTTGGCTTCTGTCCTCTGGGAGCTCCCAGTCTGGGGGGAAGGACAGTTTACCTTCCTATGAAATGCAGTGGGCAAGCTTCAAGAACAAATGACTAACATTAACTGCACATGACTCCATGGATCAACTCCGGGGGGTGGGAAAGGTCAGCAAAGCCTTCTGGAAGATACAGACTTTAAACCCTCTTTAGTTCATCTCTGGGCTGCATTGTCATTTTTGTCTTGGTGGGAGATGGCCCAGCCTTCTCCTCCTCAGGAGCCTCAGTTTGCCAGCTGAGCAATAGGTATGTATTTTAAAAAGTCATCTTCATTACATGTAAAACAAAAAGGCTTGACCCAAATGACTTAAGTTCCTTCTAGCTCTGACATGGTCAGGTGTTTGAGTGGTGGGGTAAGGTGCAGCCATACTTTCAGACCCAGGCCCTGACTTGGGGTGAGGGTGGGGACACCCAGAGGGAGGAGGTCTCCTCAGCCTTAGGGCTCCATGCTAAGATTGGTGTTGGGGTCGGTTCCTCCTCAGAGATCCTGGGAGCCCTGCTCTCTGTGCTGTCCATCTGGGTCGTGACTGGGGTACTGGTGTACCTGGCGGCGGAGCGGCTGATCTCTGGGGACTATGAGATTGAGGGGACGACCATGCTGATAACGGCGGGCTGTGCTGTGGCTGTGAACATCATGTGAGTGAGTCCTCGCTCCTCTCATTTCTCACGTGCATACCTATGTGCCTTCTGGTGGAAACAGGGCAGCCGAACTCCAGCACAGGCTACAGGCACAGAATTTCCCTAACGTCTGAGCTCTGGCACCTGGAACGCCTGGGTTCTGCCTTAGGCCTGGGCCAAGTTCGTCAGGAACTGTAAATCTGGGGCAGCGTCAACTCCATGCCCCCAACCCATACATGTTGCTGAATAGCCTGGGAGGCTTCATACCTGAAGTGGGGAGGGGTTAGTCTAGTTCTTGCAGGAGCAGGTGTCCCTAGGGGAAGAATCCAAGTTCTTTTTCAAGCTGATATGACTGAAATTGGTCTCAGTGAGAGGCAGGCTGTAGAGAGTATCTGTCTTATTTGGGTTCTCTCCCTCGTTTAGTGGCCTAGGGCAAGCCACTTCCCTAAGACTCAGCTTCCCCATGTGTGACACGGTGGGGGCAACTGATGACCTCCATGGTGTCCTCCTGCTCTGAGATTTGGCACTGTGGCATCTTTGTGCCCAGATTCGGCCTGGCATTGGGGTTGAGTCCTTTCTCCTATAGCACTCTAAACCAAGGCCTCGTGGGTCTGGGTCAGGCTCCTCATATAGCCAAAGGGATAGCGCAGTCTGGGGGTTTGGGATTTTGCCCCCCAGGGAGGCCAGCCCTAACGGGTGGCCTCTACCTGGCTGATTTGAAGCCTGTATCTGCTACCTCAGTGAGCCCTTTGGCTTTGTCTCCATTCCCGTAGAATGGGGTTGACTCTTCACCAGTCTGGCCACGGGCACAGCCATGACACCAGCCAGCAGCAGGAGAACCCCAGTGTCCGAGCTGCCTTTATCCATGTGATAGGGGACTTGCTGCAGAGCTTGGGCATCCTGGTGGCGGCCTATATTTTATACTTCAAGGTCAGAGCTGGGGACAATGGGAAGGGGGTGGGGCCT